CTGTGTGGACCTCACTGGGATCATTTAAATGTAAAGCACTGTAATCTGTTAACTGATAGAAGAAACACAGAATTTTGATTGCAAAACTGTATTTAATGTGAATTAGTCATTTCTGGCCGTAACTGGAAGCACTTAATGAGGTCAGCATCCAGCGGATCAGATCGTTGCACACCTGAAAATCACACCTAAATAGAATCAGTAATGGTTTTGGATGGTAGGTTGATAATCTTAGCCATTTGGAAAGAGTTGAGTAGAAGTGCTGCTTTTTTACTCTAAAAGAATTCAGTTGATATGGCTCGGTCATCTGGTCAGGATTCTTCCTGGACGCCTCCCAAGGAGGTATTCTGGTCAGGGCAACCTGACCCCATGGCAGAGCCAGAACGCACTGGAGGGATTAAGTAGGAATAGGTTTATTGTCACAATATAACAAATTATAGAGTGAAATTGTCTTTTGTAACTCCCTTCTGCTACATAGCAGACAATATACATTGATACAGAATCACTTATAAAAAATGGTAAACAGAAATAAATTATCATCAGTGGAGCAGTGCTGAGGATGAATTAGAGTCTAAGAGTCTGATAGCTTGGGTGAAAAAGCTGCTCTGCAGTTTGGTGCGGCAGCAGAAACTTCTATATCTCTTCCCAGAAGGCAGCAGGTGAACAGGCTGTGGCTGGGTGGGTACTGTCCTTTAGTATCCTTTGGGCTCTGCGCATGCACCTCACCTCACCGATAGTACTGATGCTCGGGAGATGGGTACCAAGCAGTTACCAAGCAGAGTTACCCGCCCTCTGATCCTGGGCCATGAACATCCCATGCCAGTTTATGATTTTTCCAGTCGGGATGTTTCCTATTGCTCCTCTGTGAAAGCTGACAAAAACTTGGCGTGGTAAAAGACATACAGACGTTTCTGAGCTTTCTTCATCAGCGTGGAGATGTGAGATGACCGTGTCAGGTTCTCTGTGATGCTGATTCCCAGGAACCTGAAACTGTTCACCTGCTCCACCTCAGCAGCACTGATGTAGAGAGGAGTGTGTGTCTTTATCTCCTCCTTCCTAAAATCAAGAAGAAGACGTACATGAGTTTGATGACCACAGATAAGTTGATTTGACTGTAGACTTTAATAGACTAACGAGGATTCAGCTTCTTCATGTGCTGAAACACCTGATCTTCTTTACTGTCTGAGGAAAAGTGGAATGTGGTTCCAACATGTTGGACCATCTGTCCCATAACACTTCTTAGGTCGCATCCTGTAGTCCAAATGCCAACTAGACACACAGCATTTCACCTTTTTATAAGGCATCTTGCTTAGTTTTACAATAAGATTGGGTTACATTTCGTCTTTCAGTTTATCCAGTTCCAATTCCCCCAAATTGAAACTGGATAAACTGAAAGATATGTATTCATTAAGCTATGCACAAAACATCCATCACATAATCTTCCTGGCAAATCATCAAGTCTTTATATTTTAGTTCTTTAAGGTTTTGCCACCCACTGCTATGCTTTCATGGACTGCTATACTAGTGAACATTACATTAATATAAACATGTATTATATAGTACATGTTTGTAACATTAGATCCAAATCTCAACAGAAAAATTAGGGCCAGTGCTGTTAGGGCCAGATCTGTACACCACACTGTGTGGACCTCACTGGGATCATTTAAATGTAAAGCACTGTAATCTGTTAACTGATAGAAGAAACACAGAATTTTGATTGCAAAACTGTATTTAATGTGAATTAGTCATTTCTGGCCGTAACTGGAAGCACTTAATGAGGTCAGCATCCAGCGGATCAGATCGTTGCACACCTGAAAATCACACCTAAATAGAATCAGTAATGGTTTTGGATGGTAGGTTGATAATCTTAGCCATTTGGAAAGAGTTGAGTAGAAGTGCTGCTTTTTTACTCTAAAAGAATTCAGTTGATATGGCTCGGTCATCTGGTCAGGATTCTTCCTGGACGCCTCCCAAGGAGGTATTCTGGTCAGGGCAACCTGACCCCATGGCAGAGCCAGAACGCACTGGAGGGATTAAGTAGGAATAGGTTTATTGTCACAATATAACAAATTATAGAGTGAAATTGTCTTTTGTAACTCCCTTCTGCTACATAGCAGACAATATACATTGATACAGAATCACTTATAAAAAATGGTAAACAGAAATAAATTATCATCAGTGGAGCAGTGCTGAGGATGAATTAGAGTCTAAGAGTCTGATAGCTTGGGTGAAAAAGCTGCTCTGCAGTTTGGTGCGGCAGCAGAAACTTCTATATCTCTTCCCAGAAGGCAGCAGGGTGAACAGGCTGTGGCTGGGTGGGTACTGTCCTTTAGTATCCTTTGGGCTCTGCGCATGCACCTCACCTCACCGATAGTACTGATGCTCGGGAGATGGGTACCAAGCAGTTACCAAGCAGAGTTACCCGCCCTCTGATCCTGGGCCATGAACATCCCATGCCAGTTTATGATTTTTCCAGTCGGGATGTTTCCTATTGCTCCTCTGTGAAAGCTGACAAAAACTTGGCGTGGTAAAAGACATACAGACGTTTCTGAGCTTTCTTCATCAGCGTGGAGATGTGAGATGACCGTGTCAGGTTCTCTGTGATGCTGATTCCCAGGAACCTGAAACTGTTCACCTGCTCCACCTCAGCAGCACTGATGTAGAGAGGAGTGTGTGTCTTTATCTCCTCCTTCCTAAAATCAACGATCAGCTCCTTAGTTTTGCTGACGTTGAGCAGTAGGTTGTTCTCTGAGCACCACTCATTATGAATTTCCTCCCGATATGAACTCCCATTGCTATGAAATCCGTGATCTGGGAATGCCGTAGGATCCACCTGGAACATCTGGGGGATGGGGCAATGGACAAGGACATCTTGGCTACTTTGTTTAGTCTCCTGCAAGATATTGATGCATCGATCGATGAAATGTGTTCAGCAGGATTCAAGTTTGATAAGCGGAGTCTAATTCGATAAAATGCTATCAAATCCTAAACCTTGTCTTGTCTTGCAGTTATTTACCACTGCCCAAGGTCGAATGTGATCATCCTCTTTCCTCCAAATGAACCAAACTAAAGGACTCCAGACTGAATAAACTGCTCCAAGCATGCCTGGTGTGAACACACTCTTATCTGTCATTGCCACGTCGGTGTCCCCACAGGGCGCTATGAGCAGTTTAATTGCCTGAGATCTTGTTTTTGATAAAGGACTGCGATGTACAGCGTGGCAGGGCAATTGGTGGTCACCTTTTTTATTTCTATCACCCCTTCCCTCTCCATCTGTCTCACTCTTCACTGCTGTGTACCCACAGCCTGGAGGGACACCGGCTCTGTTGAGATGGCAGCGGAGAGGAAGAGAGAGAAGAATCTAGTCCTCAGCACTTTTCACACTTGACAATTTGGGTGAAAAATAAAAGAAAAACTCGGCAGGGCCCTGTTTGGTATTCATTGTTTCCTTGGTGCTATTTTGACAGGGTTTAATCATCTGTAAAAGTAAAATATCACAGCTTCCGCATGGATTAACACGGTAGACGTGATTATGCAAGAGGAGTAGGAGGAGGAAGAAATTGTTGATGGAGTCTGTGGCCTGAAGGAGACAGTTAAAAGAATTAGCCATACTTTACACAGATCGTGAGACGGAGGGTCTCATGAACTCGCCCCTACTGCAGGCAGCTGGTAGCTGAAATGTACGAAGTATGCCGTTCATAATAATAACATTTTTTGACCACTGCTGCATCTCCCTCTCCTTGTGTCTTTGCTCCCTGCTATGAGATCAGTCGTGGCCATTCGTTCCTCTCATTGAATGTTTGGGATTTTTGCAAGTGTTAAAGGACCATACCAACATGCAAGTTTTAGCTCTTTGAACAAAAATCATGTTTGCTGTATATTTTCAAATGCAGAGGGGACTGCAAAGTGTGCAACAGTGTTTTGAACATGCATTAATAAAACACTGTAGAAGGCATCTCATGTTAACCACTGATACATGCAGTCCTTTCAGATATAGTTTGGACGTGTATTTTCGTGTAGAGACTTTGCGATGTGTTTGTGTTTTGGCTGTCCTTGTGAGTTTGACTTTTACACAGTTTTTAGTGGGTTGATTTCTAGGAAAACTATGAATATTAGATAAAAGATGGGAAGTAAAGCTTTGGGCTACAGGTTAAAGTATGTGTACAGTAGTAGCTGGGTGATGATTGCATGGTTAGAGAGATATAATATAACATACATATGTTAGTTTTGGTGATGTTTTTAAATGGAAACCGACATTCGCCTATATATTATGGGCCAGAATTCAGTTGCATTGAACATGAAAACTTTGTCTAAAAAAACAAACATGCATAACATGTATATCACAAGACAAATTAGTGGGCATATGACGACGAGAGGTGCATATGACATGATACGCGCTTGTATGAGAGGAGCACATCGACCAACCCTGAATCTGCCTGCCTTGGTTAGACTGTCCACATAAATGTTCAGTTCAGAACTTTTTTATTATAGTGCTGGCACAATACAAAATACAACAACATAAATGTGATGATTAAAAAAGAAACGCTACAACAATAACAACAGGGATGAGGGAAAGTGCTCAACGGTGTAGAAAGCCATGTTCAGAGTGTATTAGAGTAAGGAGTCTTTCTTGCACATAAAAAAACAAACAAAATTTTACCTGTTGCACCTAATTTTCAAAAACCTTTATTCCCTACCAGGGGCAGATGTGGCCTTCATTCTGGATGCAATGGTGCAGATTTGCTGAGATGGATTTAGCTTTCTGTGTTATTTGCTGGCGAAATAAAGTCTGACCAAGAGGGCTGTTGCCCATTGATATGTGTTTTGCTGAATGTATGGATCTGTAAAATAAAACACCATCAACCCCCTGTCAAAGTAAAAAATATGAATTTCCACAGAATATATTAACTCAGTGTTTGCATCAAATCTCAGTATCTTGTCAGTACCAAGGTAATTACAGCTCTCCACAGTTTTTACTGTTGCTGCCCTCATTGTCTCAACTATGTTTTCTCTTCTGTTGCAGAATGACCATGTTGCCACTAAAGAGCTAATCACTGTGAAGTCGTGGACGGTAGTGGAACATCCAGCATCTGAGCCAGTTGTGCTTTCTTAGCTTCAAGTGGAGTTGTGCAAACTTTCTACTAGACCTGTGTAACTTACCTTCTCTACTGGCTGCCTGCCACTGAATATAAAAAGGGACCCCGCCTACCTATCTTTAAAAAAAATGGAGACTCTTTCTCAAGATTCAATTCTGGAGTGTCAGATCTGCTTTAACTACTATAGCCCTCGCCGGCGGCCCAAACTCCTGGATTGCAGACACACGTGCTGCTCGGTGTGTTTGACCCAGATGCGCAGCAGCCAGAAGGAGATTCGTTGTCCCTGGTGCCGTGGCGTCACTAAACTCCCTCCGGGCCTGTCAGTCTCCCAGCTCCCAGATGACCCGGACATCATCACTGTCATCGCCATCCCTCACGCCTCTGAGCACACGCCCGTCTTCATCCGCCTGCCGAGCAACGGCTGCTACATGCTGCCACTGCCCATCGCCAAGGAGAGGGCACTTGGCCTGCCAGGGGAGCTGGGATGTCGCTTCCTGCCTGGCAGCCAGCAGAAGGGGGTGACCGTGGTGACCGTGCCCGAGCAGCAGCCTCTGGGCCTGGGTATGGGTCTGGAGGGTGTCGGGATGGGGCTGGAAGGAGGCGAGGGCGAGAGGAGAGTTACTGGCCCGGTGGTAGGAGGAGGGAAGGGCTCCACGTGGTCAGGCGTGTGCACGGTGATCCTGGTGGCGTGTGTGCTGCTCTTCCTCCTGGGCATCGTGCTGCACAACATGTCCTGCATCTCCAAGCGCTTCACTGTCATCTCCTGCGGCTGAGGGTGGAGGGAGGCTGCTCGGACTGCCGCGGCCCCCCCCCCTAGATTCCCCCACTAGCCCTGCCTCTCCTCAGGACGCGACTGCTGAGGAGAGGGGACTAAACTCGCATCATGGGCATCCAAGGAAGCTACAGAGCAACATAGAGAGAAACCGATGATGCAGAAGAAGAGGGCAGACAAGCAGCCTGCCAATTATTTTTTGGGATACTGAAATTAAAATGGAAATACAGACAACTTCACTTTCCTCTTGTCAACAGCACTCTGTCAGCCCTGAACCCCGTCGCCCTTTTCCTGTCTTTCCATTTTCTCTGAAAGAACATTTTTGGATTTGCTCCAGAAATGTTTTTGGCCAGCTGATTTGTTTTTGGCTGGGGGCCGATATGACACTCACACTCTCAGCCGTTGGATTGCCTGTTTAGTCTGTGGTTTGTAGAAGTACATCAGTTATCATAGTGTTGTTTAGGTGAGTGTTGGTTCCAAGTGCGTTGTCTTCAGCTGGTGCTGCAGTAGATGAGTTCGGACTTGGCTGCTCTCCGTTCTCTGATGCTGCAGGAATTAACTGTGCAGGATCCACGTCCGGCCCCGTTTGAATCATCTGGGAAACTCAAAATCAACACAGCTTTCATTTTCTTTTCTTTTTTCTTTCACACAACCTGTTCCTGTTCAGAACAAACTGTTGCTGTGATGGCTCCGTGTGGTTAGAAATGGGATTGTTCATTCATGCCAGCATATTACAGGCCTAAATTTAAAATGCAGGTAGTTGCTTTATTAAGGCTTAAATGTCTGAATTACTGCTGAAATGACAGTCAGAGATTGATCGGAAAATGACAAACACTGGATGTTTTCAGCCTGTCAAATGTGATTTTTTTTTTTTTCCTCTTCCTCTGTCTTTGTAAATTCAGTATCATTGGGGTTTGGACTGTTGGTTGAACAACACAACTCATGTGAAGACATCACTGGGATTTTCACAACTTTCGTTTCTAAACAATGAGTCTCTCTATTTATCCAAAATAGTGAAAATTATCACTAGTTGCTGTCCTATTTAGATTTTGGTGGGAAACTTTGTGCTACCTTCTAGTAGGATTCTAGCTGCCAAAAATGTACAGGCTATCTGGTAAACAAAGAAGTTGCTCAAAATACTGTGTTTAGAACTGATGACAGAATAAAAGTTCAACAGGATTAGTTTGACATTTTGGGAAATACTCTTATTTGCATTCTGTCCAAGAGTTAGATCGATACCACTGTCTGTGCGTTACATACGGCTCTAGAGCCAGGAGACGATTAGCCTAGCTTAGCATAAACTAGAAGCAGGGGGAAACGGTTCTTTCATGTTAAAAAATTGACACTTTATCACCGTCTCTAAAGCCCACTTAACATCTTGTTTAACCTGCACACAAACAGAACTGCAATGTTGTGCTGCCAGCACACCAAAACCCACAACTTTACATTTAAACATTTTTGTATGGATTAAACAAACATGTTACAGTAATTTGAGGCTTTACAAAGGAGCTACATGCTACATGCTAAGTAAGTTAATTACCACATGCACCCCCATAAAAGTTTTTACATTTCTCAAAAAAATGAGAACTGTAAAAAATGGATTAAGGCTTTTATGAACAAGTTGTTGGTGGACATATTTTTAACTCTGAAGACGCTAGCTGTTTCCCATCTTTATGCTTAAATCTAAGCTAATTACCTGCTAGCTCTAGCTCTGTATATGAGACTGGTATCAATCTCCTGGCAAGAAAGCCAATACGCATAATGTCAAACTATGTTTTTAAATAGAACAGAATGGAATTGGACATTCAGGGCAACATTCTTGTTCCCAGTTTCTCTTTTTTTTTCTCTTTTGCAGTGCATCCATTTTTTATGTTTTCCCACGGATGCTTTCATCGATTACTTAACTGTCCAACTACTTTTCACCCTGACCTGCAGACCACCATTGTCCTCTAAAGACAGACTCTTCAGCTTTGACCAGGCCCTCACCGGCAGCCCACAAACTATCGACTCCCTTCATCTTAATACTTTCCTTAATATAGAAAACTGGTGGTTATGGGCTCAAAAGTTTGATGGTATGTATTTGTGTGTGTGTGAGTAATGGGTCAGGGCACTGCAGGGGTCCAGTTAATGACGACTGTATCGATTTATCTGCTTTTGAATATCTCTCGCATCTGCAGAGATGGATGTTTCTCTCTCTTCACTTTTATATGTTGAGGCAAGCAGTATTTCTGTTTACTGTATCGTTAAAGCAATGGAGTGTACAGTACACACACACAGGGTGAACTCTTTTGTATAGCAGCCTCATCATGTACAGAATGATTGTAATTTCCTTGTCTTTTTCTGGAACTGTTTTTTTTGTTGACATGTTTTACTTGGTTAGTATTATAAGAGTCGGAATTGAGATTATGGAGCTCTGTGTGGGTTTAGCTCTAAAATAAACAAACATGAAAAGTTAACATGACACACCAGCGACACAACATAAGAAAGGAAGTTAAAACAGTGTTTGGTACAGTATATAAAGAATCATATACTGTAGGGCTGAACGGTTAATCGTTTTCAAATCAACATTGTGATTTGAAAGAACACGATTAGTTAATCGTGAAGACGGGGATTAAAATGTAGGTTAACAATGGCGTGCATCTGACCCGTTTTAAACAGTCACGCAGTTACAAATTCATTCCCTTGTCATCCTTGTGTGACAGATCTGCGCCATGCCCCTCCTGTTACGGTCCTACTCACCGATCAGAGCGGGCACAGGGCCTGTACTTCTTACAACAACAAACTAAACTAGAGGAAAACGTGGGAAAGTGGTGCCAGCGTCACAGGCAGCGGCTGTTGTCCTTGATTTTTTTTGTGCTTGTACTGTGGTTAAGTCTACCTAGTTAAATTGTTAAATGAAGTAGTATTTTTTTTATTTTTTTTACTGTTTTAACGGTTTATTGTTGATGTACGATTGGGAGTCTGCAAAGGGTGTTTTATTTTGAAAATTGAATTCTCTATGCCGTTCTGTATCTGACTTCCTGGTTCATCTGCTCAGTGCTGCTTGACGTGGCTTCCGTCAAAAATAGACTAGCAGTGAATATTGAACTTCAGCAAAACTTCAATAAAAAAAAATCGCAGATGGAGTTTTAATTGCAATATCTAGCAGATCCCCCCCCCTCCAATCGTTCAGTCCTAATATACTGTACCAAAATGTGGCTACTCTCTAATTAATTCAACTGATTTGATTTTCTTCAAACAGGGCCTTTTTTCAAAATGTATTTTGATTCGGCATGCCATATCAGCTTGATTTCACTAAAGCAAGGTCTGAGATTAAACATAAGAGACTTTAAATCAGACTTAAATTGATTAAATCAAACCTACTTAAGCCATTTTGCGGGTCAAGGCTTCCTGCACTGGACTATTCAGCTGTGAAAGTGTTTAAGCTACAATTGGGAAACTGTTTGTTTTGCACAAACACAGATATCGAGTGAAGTTCAGCTGAACTGGTTAATGTGGGACACCATGCCGATTGCGGGCCCTGATGTTGCTATGAGCTCTTTTGACGTGCAGATTAAATATTTTTAGCTCAGAGCACTTGGCGCTCCGTGGGCTCTAAAAAACTTCTCAGCTCTAGAGGTTGACGTGGTTTTCTGGTGCCGCCCAAGATAACTCTGAGATCAACGGAAATCCCAATTAAAATAAAAAAAAAGACTGCATGAATAATGGTTTGGGGAAATCTTGATGAAGGCTATATGAAATGTTAATACATTACTATGACTTTCTAATTGGGCATTCTTTATACTGGTTTATAGGTCGTGAATAATGGCTTGATAATTACTTTTATAAATCAGTAATGAACCATTTATAGGAACAACTTTTATGTTTTCTTATCAAACACTTGGACAATGGCTGCTTCAACCTGGCAACCCAAAATAATGTCATAAAATGTGTTATTACTGATCTATAAAGCATTAATAACGTATTAAGCATGTTTAAGGCTATTTCCTAAAAGAAACTATTTGTAATGTATGCCTTATTAGAAAGTGGTATATTTGATCTTAGTATAATGATCTCGCTGGAATTCACAGTCACAATTTTTCAGCGTTTATACTGGGCAAAGTGAATCAAGAAAAAAAGAAAAAGACGGAAGAATAACCAAGCTTCTTGCTACAAAGTCCTAACCGTTCATCACAAGATATTTTACACTCACAAGTACATCGCACACAGTGTTAAAGGCACATAGTGGCCCCTCTGTGATCCACTGGAAGGCTGAGGGGGTAGAGTAGAGAATAGACAAAGAGATGGCGCATCTTTATCCGCTGAGGTTTTACCGCTGAGATATCTGCTGCCACCACCACAATACAAAGGAGGTATCTGGGATAAAATATTTAATGCTCAAAAAATTACATTTACAATTTACCATCTATTATCAACTAAAAACTATTCATTGTGGCTTCTATGGATTTCATTCAGTTCAGAAAGACTAGACTAGAAAGAGTTGTTGCTTTTGAATTGTGCTAAAACTGAATTTATCTTAATTATACCGGGGTGGAGGCATCAATCCCAGTGATATATAGATCTCAAAACGGATAAATTAAACCAGCACCTTCTGCATAGCTAAAACACCAATAAGTGTAGCAGTAAGATAGGCTTTTTAATTATTTTGGTGAGCCAAGCCTTTAATGCTCTCATCTGTGCAGCCATTTTGGGGGTCTCTGCTCATATCTGTATAATCCTTTACTGTAATTCTATTACTTTGGCATAAAGTATCACTTCTGTTATGAAACTAACAAGCTAGTAATTGCTTAACAGTTCACCTTCTGTTTTAACTACATTTTGCAATAAAATTAACATTTGTTTCATTAAAAAAAAAAAATCTTGCTAAATCTGAAATTGGTACCGAATTGGTGCAGACACCACAACAATCTTCACTATTTCTCATGTTCTTATGTGGTTCTTCAGCTGTCTTTTGCTCACAGCCATTTTCCCAGTTGACCTCTGTGACAGCACCGGATTTGGTCGCCAGGAGATTTCAGAAACGGAGCCTCAATATTGGCTGTGGATCTTACAATGAGCAAGTTCACAAGATATGTCACACAAATCAGCTTCCACAGCAGTCACCCTCCAAGTCACTAGATCACTGTCATGGCAAAGAATGGACGCAAACACTGCAACAACAAAAGAAAAATCTGTTGTACCCTTCTTCAACATAAAACAGGAAAAAAAGTGCAGCGCCTTTTGTTTCAGAGAATTTGAAGAAATTAAATAGGAATGTAGACGTTAACTGTAGCTGAAATAACTGGTAAAATTGGAGAATACTTGCTGGAAACAGAAAGTCAAACCAGTGTTAACAGCACTAACATGATCTTGGTGATTATTCACACACCAGGTTCACAACCATGATAAATGAACCTGTCTTAAGTCCTTTCCCTCTGCCAATCCATCATGAATGAGGCACCACACATGATGTAAGAGGTTGGGGACGGTGGAGAAACAAATGCACCTCGTTTCTTCACCCTTATAGTGTCTGTACAGTGCTGATACATGAGATTATTGATCTAATTATTTAGAAGCAAGCACTGTTTCCATGCTTTTCACATTTTTCTCTGTTAACTGAAACGTTTTTCAATAAAAGGCTACTAAGTACACAACAGAATATTATTTTTCTTGAATATCCTTCCTGTCCCTTTTTGTTTTTGTCAAATCAAAAACTGCCCTGTACAGCATTTTTACACTGAAAAGAGTGACGACTAGAGAAGCGTG